CATAGTGTATACGTAGGGTGTAGCGATGTACGGATCTCCTCACACTGATCATATTTGAAATTCTCCTCAGGCTCAGCATGGCGCGGCTCACACTGGCCCCATCGGCTTACCCCGAGGGGTTACCTGACCCCAGGCTTCCTGCGCTGCAAGCCCCGAAAATTCCGTCCCGTCTGGAAATTTTGAGGAACGACTTCCAGGAGCGAAGCCTCCGAGCCAAAGAGGAGAAGATTCTGAATCTGCTGACTCAGCAACAAGAGCGCATCTCACACAGGGTCGCCGCCCCTTCACTGTACACTCAACACAAGCCCTATGTAGGGCCCTGGGCCCCCGAGGAGAAGGCATGGGCCTCCAACTGGACCGTAACCAAGAGGACTGCTGGCATAGACCGCGCACATCCCCTCAAACCCGTCTATCACCACAAAGCCACCACCCGCATCACAGACAACCATCACCCTCCATCAGCCAACACCACCAGATACAAGTCTTCTCCTCCAATACAAGAGCAGCCGAGGTCCAAATCCGGCCCGGCACGGACAGACTCCTGGCACCATCTGGAGACAAAGGGGTCCAGCCTGGAGGCCGAGATTCGCAGGAAAGAAGCTCTGCTGAGAGAAAAACTGCGGAAAACCGAGGAAGAACTTCGCCGTATACAGAGAGAGAAAGCGGAAACCCAGGACAGAAGAGGTACAGAGATGCAGAACACCCGGCGGGGGAGGGTGGCAACAACCCAGAACAGGGCAATAAAGACCTTCCATGAACCAATCTACACTGAGGAGGATGGGGGGGACCGAGCCCATCCTAGGGAGGACCGATTCCATTCAGGGGAGGACCGATTCCATCCAGGGGGGGACCGAGCCCATCCTAGGGAGGACCGAGCCCATCCTAGGGAGGACCGAGCCCATCCTAGGGAGGACCGATTCCATTCAGGGGAGGACCGATTCCATTCAGGGGAGGACCGATTCCATCCAGGGGGGGACCGAGCCCATCCTAGGGAGGACCGATTCCATCCAGGGGGGGACAGATTCCATCCTACAGAGGACCGATTCCATCCAGGGGGGGACCGAGCTCATCCTAGGGAGGACCGATTCCATCCAGGGGGGGACAGATCTCATCCTGAGGTGAACAGACTCTATCAAGACATGGAAGCCAAAATCCAGATCAAGGAGCCGCCCTCAGACAGGAAGAGCAAACACCTCAGACAAGCCGGGAATGTTACTCCATCTCCAACCAAGGGCCCGTCCCATATCAGAGTGGCCCCTGACGACCGTTATACCCACAGATCCTCCATGGCTGGTCCTATACAGGAGGACAATGGGGAGGACTTGGTTCCATGTCAGCTGTGTGGGCGGAGCTTCATGGTGCATCGTCTCGAGAAGCATACTCAGGTCTGCCAGAAGATGATGAACTCCAAAAGGAAAGTGTTCGATTCCTCCAAAGCCAGAGCCAAGGGGACCGACCTGGAGCAATTCCTCCACACCAAAGGGAAACTCAAAGACCCTCCCCCACAGGTAAGTGCAGCTCTTCCTCCCAATGTGTAATGTATAAACATTTGGCTTTAGAATCCCAGCATATACCAGAGCGTGGTACATCATACACATCCCCTCCCGCCAGTTATAATGTTGTACCCGAGCGTCATGAATGGCCAGGTAGTCACGGTTCCTGAACTCTGCAGGTTCTAGGCCTAGTGTACTTGCTGGGGACAATGTTGAAGTTTTGTTTCCCCTCCCCCTCCAGGTAAAGCGCAGTTCATGGCGTCAGAAGCACGAGTCTTTCATGCGCACCATTCGTCAGGCTCGCCTGGTGCAGGACGTCGTGAGCAGAGGAGGGAAAGCGTCTGACGTGCCCCCTCCTCCGCCAGAGGAAAATCCAGATTACATCACCTGTCCTCACTGCAATCGCCGCTTCGCGCCACCCGCCACGGAACGCCATATACCCAAGTGTGAGACGATAAAGTGCAAACCCCGCCCCCCTCCAGCTCGGCGTCGCTGACACGGGTACGCCATATTTCTGAACAGGATGGGTTAGAGATGCAGGACGAGAACCCACAGCCCCGGGAGAGGGGAAGGACTTACCAGCACATGGAAAATAAGACTTTTTGTACTTGCTATAAAATCTTTTTCTTGAAGTCCATTGAGGGACACAGGAATTCAAAAACATTCGGGTTATACTGCCACCTGCAGGAGCTTGGGACACTGGTCAACAGAAAAACTGTAAGCCTATTCCACCTCCACATAACTGCCTTTTACTTCTTCCAATCACTCAATCTAAACAATTATTACCTTTTGTATCACTGGCCCCTCCTACTAGATTGTAAGCTCTCATGGGCAGGGCCCTCCCAACCCTATTGTACTGAAACTGTATTGTAACTGTAATGTCTCCTCCATTTTTTAAAGCGCTGCGCAAATTGTTGGCGCTCTATAAATCCTGTATAATAAGCCAGCCCGTGTATGACCCCTCCTGTACCCAGCATGCCTCACTTGTGTGGAGAAGCAAATAACAGAGGGGTGGACTATTGTCCCTCAATGAAATCCAAGAGACAGATTAATGGGATGTACATGTATGTTCCTTCTCATCCACTGAAGGACACAGGAATTTAGAAACAGTCGGAGTGTCCAACAGCCACTGACAGGCCCACAGAAAGGACTGAGAACTGTCTGCAACTCAGAACTACTAAAAGATCCAACTCCCAAATCTACCCCACATGAGGTGAAGCCCTCCGAAAACAGGGGAAGCAGCCATCACAGGAAGGCCTCCGAGAATCAATGTGATGCTTGAGTAGAAGGCGGCCAAGGGGAATGACTCCACCTGGAGGACCATGAATCCCATACCGGCAAGAGGCTGGGACCCAAAGAACCCACCAGAACTACCTGAGCAGAAAGAAACAGACCAACAATGTAATATGGCAAACAGAGAAAACACTCGGAGAAGAGGTCCCCCAGGGGGACACATGAACACAGACCTACAAGACTAGACCAGCCAGTCTACATCCCTTACACTCCCAAGGATTCAGAGAAGGAACGTTCTGGGATCAGTATCAGGTCGTCTGACCACACAACTGAGAGGTCCCAGGTATGTGAGGACCACTGCGTAATGTCTCATAGGGATACCTTAGTGAGCCCTGAGACTTGTAGAGGATTCCAACCATGAATTACGTCTGACTGTGAAAGGGTCGGGTGCCCGAGAGGGACCACTACAAGGGTAGGCAGGAATGAGGTGAATACCACAACCCCAGATTATTGCCAGAACAAGAGAATGAACAAAAACCAGCCACTTCAACACCCAGAACTGTCCCTGGACTCTGACCGAAGAAACTCTGCAGCACCTACCAAACCCTGAGCACAGAATTTGGTTCTTAGAATCGTCTGACCCGCCCCAGTCCAGTGTAACATCTAAATTTGAGGCACAAAGGGCCGGAACCTGAGACACACTGTGGGAAACATGCACTTGATGGAGATTAGAACTAAGGAAGCGCCCACAGAAGGAGGACCTATCTCCAGGTGATCAGGTTCCACTACGGCTTCTGGACATACTCTGTGCCCAATGGGGGGGGGGCGTTAGCATTGGCAATCCCAGAGAGCAGAGGGCTCCCTTGCAATGATTTCTACATGTGATGCGGATAGTTGTGATTGAAGGGAGCAAGATGCCAATGAATTGTCTCTACAATTGTCCTGTTGCAGGGAGGACACCCAAACCTTCCCGGAGCTAAAGGCCTGGAACAGGAGGCTGATCCTCTATGCTGCATCAATAAGGTTTGACACAACCCTGTCAATGGCAGGAGACTACAGTGCCTCATAAAGTCAGAGAGTGAGAGGGACAAGCCCGGCTTCGTTAGGGGCTCAGGAGGGTCAGAGGCTGAACCTGCAGGGGATGGTACTCAAGTGTGCTTAGAGTCTCTGTGGAACACAAATAGCTAAATAGACACGGAGGTCCTTTGTGAACATGCCGGTTCCTTCTGTGGATACCATATGAATGTCCCCAGAAACACGAGGGGAGTATGGGCTGAGGTCACCTGGGGCAGCCTCCCCCCTCCATGGTCTAAGAATCATCACATCCAATGCAATGTATAGGACACGGAGGGATATTTTATCACCAGAGTAGTGGTGGGGGGGGGAGGGGGGGGAAGAGAGAGAGACTGCAGGGACAGGTCTAGCAGCCAGGACCAAGCTACAAGTGACTATATCTTTATGTGTCACCGTAGACGAACACGAGCACCTAACATTTGCAGCGCGGGGGATGAAGATTTCTTCTGACCGGGGTTCTTCATTAACCCTCAGTGCTGTAAAACCAGCAATGGCAGGAAGTAACAAGGACCTAGCTCCCGGAGCTTCAGCCCAACTTGCCTTAGTCCGGCCTGGGGCTGGGCCATGGCTCTGGACCTGGAAAGTGCTCAGTGGATAAGACAATACATTCTGATCTGGAAAACTCCATCGTGTAGATCCCAGGCTGGCCCCCGTATGACCAGACCAGCAGGGTATGGGCCCGGCCTCCATGGCTAATGCGGAGGAGAGGCCGATCCAGAGAGCTGGTCTACAGAGACCGCTCATGTAAGGAGGAATCTTGACTGAAGTCACCGAGGAGAAGTCCCCCTACGAGGAAGACCAGAAAAAATGGTTCCACAGAGCTGAGGAAAAAGGAGCCCAACCTCCTGAGACACCAGCAACAAATGGAAGCGTTCTATGGGGGCCGACTTACAGCTTTTACCATTGTCCCAACTTCCTGAAGGCGGCAGCGTAACCCAACTAATAGAATTCCTGTGTCCTTCAATGGAGGAGAAAGAAAGCACTAATAATTCAGAATCTTCTGGAAAGCCGACTCCAATACATTATCATTACACAAGTTA